CACTTAATGCGACACTTTTAAGATAAATGTGGGATTGCTGTAAGTAGCTAAGGAGCGGGGAAAGGCAAGCTTAGTAAGTAGAGGTAGTTTTTATTAAGCCAGTTGGAACAGCTAGAAATTTAATTTGCTGAATTTGGGGACTCTCGGTAAAGTATCTCTGTGGTGTGTTATGGGATTTTTAAAAACACGCCTGTATAAAGTTTGGATTTCTGAAGCAAAGGATCTATATCATGCACAAGCAGTGTTGCAGATAAAACAGCTTAGCCTTTGAGTATGTAAAGTCCCAACTCAGGTAATTATGGAAATAAAAATTCAGCTTTCTGCGTGAACAACAGATAAGACATTTGTTTTAGCCTTTCATGCTACTCTTTAAAATCTCTCTGGAAGATTTTAGACGAACAGGAAAAAATTAAGACTTAGAGGATTTCTTTGTGATCTCTTAGTGAAAAAAGCAAGAAACTCCTTATTAAACTGTCTTGTATAATTGTGGAATGTAGAGAAAAAAAAAAAATAGCTGTTTTGCAGCATTCCTTAATAATACTAAATTACTGCCCTAAGAATACTGTCATGCACTTTGGCCATCCTGTAGAGATCAGCCCTCCCCCCCCCCCCCACCCAAAAAAAAAAAAGATAAAACTCAAGAAATTGTTTTCTAGACCTGGAAAAGCAAGTTAAAGTGAAGAACCCAATATTAGCACTGTGGGTAAGGGAGATCAACACTGGAGTATGAAAATATTTCAACATAGGCATAGTAGTGTTACCTATTCTGTAATACTGGACCTTTGCAACAAATTCAGCTGGTCTTCACTTGTGTGTTAGGCTGCAGAGAGGAGAGTCTTGAGGTCTTTCAGGGAAGATTTTTGTTTTTTTTTATACAGAATTTCAGGGAATAAGCTCTTTATAAGCTACTTTCTTTGTGTTATGATCCTCTCAAGTCAACAATGACAAGACACTGATCTATGAGGAAATGAAGCTTGAAACAAGTATCTTCAAGTCATAAAGTTTCCAGCTCTCTCCAGCTGATGAAGCTGTTGGTAGGTTTGGAAAGACAGATTAATGCTGACAGAAAATCAAGTTTATAAGCAGAGGAGTTTGAACACGTTTATAATTTAACTTAGAGAAGTTATATAGCCTTATCTATGTCATCAGTTTTCCAGCTCCAAGGCTACTAAACATCATCTAGTCTAGTAGGGTTAGCAGAGTAATCCAGGGATTGTTGATTTTAACATTTACACAAAACGTTGTATTTCAAAACAAACCCAGAAACCTCTTGTGGGTTGCCAGTCACTATAAACTATTCTCTGTGGATAAAGAGTTATTTCTCGTTGGAAGTAGCTTGTTAGTCCTGTGTTGGGTGAAAGTAGGGAAGAAATGGCCATCAGTGAGAGAACTGCCTTGATTGCACGTGTGGGTACGGGTTGAGCTTTCCTTCACTCCCCTTACACAGCTATTGCAAACCAACCTCGTAACTCATTTGAGAATTACCGATGTAGTTGGATCCTCCCAGGTTTGGGCAAGGTGAACTGGAATGCCTGTAGACCAGAAACCTGCACGTTGCTTTAGGAGGTGAAGATCCTGATGTCCGTGCAGTGACAGCAATGCAAACACTAAATTGATGCGCGCGCTGGGAATCAGCTTGCATTTCATCTTGTGCTTTGGTGTCCCTGTCTGCAACTTCAACTGTCTAAAGCCCAACATATCCCACTTTTGCCATTTGTATGTAATATAGAAAGCTGTTCTGTTTAGGATTCTGTTTAGTTTTCTCCTTTCCCCCTTTTTCCCCTCGGTTCCCACCAGCTTCTCTAAATATAATGGCATAAATTCCATCATGATGTAAAGGACTTGTACCTGTAGGGTAGAAGGAAAATCTGCTGGAAATAAGATAGTGCTTAATTGCAAGAATGAGGAAAATGGCCTAAAGCGCTTAGATATTTCATGAAAATTTTTCTTCTATAACTTCTGAAGTGACAGTTCCAGCACTTCGCTATTGTTGCTGTTGCCACTGATGGAAACTAAAAGATAGTACAGGAGTCTTAATAGACTTTGGAGTTTCTAGCAAATCTCTTTTTTTTTTTTTTTTTTTTTTTTTGGTCACTGGAATTCTGTTTGTGGCATTGTTGGGGGGAAGGGTGTCTTAATGAGGTTTTTGTTGGTTTTTGCAAATTTTCCTAAAGAGGGACAGGACCAGTCTGGCTTCTTCTGACAGGCTGTTCCTTTCTGTCATTTTGCATTTTCCATGTATTTGAGTGAATGTATTTGCTTTGTTGTTTGTCTTGGACAAATCTCAGGTCTTTGTATCTTGGAATGTCCTTTTTTTATTTTCAGAGTCTTGAGCGAGTTTCCATCCCAGACACTGTGCTTATGTACTTAGGGTATTAGCCTAAAAATGCTGTAAGATTAAGTGGAAATGTCAAAGTGGGGGTTAGAAGTGGCTGTTAATTTAACAATCTGTGTTTGGGATTATGGTTTTCCTCCAGACAGATTATGAGGGATAGGCACCAAAGAGCAGTCCTTCGATTTGACCTGGAATAACTTTTGGTGGTGGGTTAAATGTCAAACAACAGACTATCCAGAGGGTTTGAAGAGGGAGGAAGTTAAACACGAAATGTAAATTGCACATAGAAAAGCTGAGAAGATGAGCAGGCAGATGATTAGAGAAATACAGCTGCGGTGCCCAGTGGGGCCCATCAGTACCACAGTGTTTTGTAGTTTCGTTTTCTCCTGCAGTGCTTTACTTTTTGGCCACCTTTTGGGGAATTAAACCTAAAGCTGAGTCTTGCAAACATTTTCCTACATATCAGAAAGAATTACTTATACTTGAAAGGCAAAGGGTTTTTTTTGGTTGTTTGTTTGTTTTGTTGTTTGTTTTTTTTTTTTTTTTTTGTGTGTGTGCTTTTTTTTATTGTTGTTGTTGTTTGCTTTTTTTTTTAACCAGAGAATGCCAGAGATAGTCACACCCTGCCCAGCAGAATTGGTGAAAAGCCAAAAATGTATGGGTTTTTCCTTTGATATGAAAATATTTGCACAGCTCTTATAAAGATTTAGAGCTTTAGTTTTCAAGATAGCACCCCTGTTGTTAATCCCGTCTGTACTCTGTGGGATATCTCTAGTGACATACCACTAACATTTGAGGTAAAAATAGGCTCTTTTGCTGAGCGATGGTAAGGAACAGCAATACTTCTGCTTTGGTTAAAGTTATCACATAGTCATATTCATTTACCCGCTGCTCATGCTGACGTATCTCAACTAGCAGAAAGCTGAGAGTAGGTACAAACAGACTGGGGGAGAACATTTCTTTATGCCATGCAAAATCACTGCTTGAATCTTCCAGCTAGACGCAATGTGAAAGTGGCTTTTTATTTTTTATTTTTTATTTTTTATTTTTTATTTTTTATTTTTTTTTAAGGATTTGTAAGCTTTTTCTGGTCTTTTTATTCATGAAGTTGAATAAAATCTGTGCTTTAAATCAATACTAAGGTGTTGGGAGACCAGCAGCAGTTGAGAGATGCCTCTCCAGAGCACTGGGGGGTTATTTTATACAGACTGATGAGGTGGTATTTGAAAGCATGATATTTTTCCTTTCAGTTTACGTGAGGGTTGTATTGAAATTATTGATCTGGCTTTGAATATCCATTAATGTCCAGTTAACTTTTGCAGCTGGCTCTTGGGTTTTCTGTGCGTATCCTGATTTTTATTTTTTTCCCTCCCTGCTAAGCTAACGAAACACGAATTTCAAATAAATGTTTTGCAATATAGAGGTGAGACGCTGTCCTACCTTCGGCACCTTTAACCATCTTGCCTGGCACTTTGCTGTCATTCTCAGCTTTGTTTTCAAACCCCTCCCTAACTTCTTTCCCATTCCCTGCCAAAAAATCCAGCCAGCCTACCTGCCGGTCATGCATGTATTAAGTATACCCTGACCCAGAAAGAGCCATTGCCACCACAGCCCCATGCCTGGGGCAGGCGGGATTTAAAGCACACACACGTGTGAAAAAATAACACCTTTGCTCCGCAGAGTTTTTATTTATAGGAAGTGGAGAAAACCTGGGAGAAGAGCATGAGCCAGAGCTGCTGTGCTGTGGCCAGTGGTTGTTGGGAAGGGGGACGTTATGGTTCACATCTGATTTAAGCCTTCTAACTGCCGTGAACACCGAGCTGTTGCCTGTTTATACACATTTCTCTTTCATTTTCCTGTTGTAAGCTTTCTCGTCAAGACATTTTGCGAGGTAATTCCTGATTTGTCCTCTACGTTAGGTACCTGAAATATTGCACGGAATTAGTATACACTAGGCGGGAGCAAAAGATGAAAAAGATATTTTAGTTCACTTGGTGGCAGCTGTGGAGCTTTACTAAAGCGAATTGTTTAATTTAATTAATTTCCCAACCTGAGACCGGAGTGCCTGCGTGCTCAGTAGGCAAATCCCTTGCCGAACGTGCTGGCTCAAACCACACATGACGAGGAGAAATAAGTGGTGGCAATGCAAAGCCGGCAGGGGTAGGAGGATTTATTTGGGTTCCCAGTGGGGGAGCCAAGGACAGTCCATCAACAGGCAGCCGATGGGGAAGCTGCCCAGCGGCCGCCCTGCCCCACGCGTGTCAGTGGAGCCCACTGGGGAGGACGGGGCGAGCGATGGGGCGAGTGCTGCTGCTTCCGTGGTGCAGCCCCTGCCTCCGAACCTGTAAAAGTTCTTGCTGGCACCGGTTGGTAATTGCACTCCTGCCCCTGTTTGACGCGGGCGGTCTGTAAGTGATGGCACGCCGTGTTGAAATTTGAACACAGCTGTGTGCCTGTGTAGGACCTGCAGGATCCCGCGTGGGTGCTCCAGCCTCGGTGATTGCATAAAATTAGTAAACCATTTTACGATAGGTAGTAATCATTGTCAGTACGGTTAGAAGCTTTTGTTTTGAACTGCTCGTCTTTTAAAATAAAACACTTATTTCTTTTTTCTTTTTTTTTTTTTTTTTTTAAAAAAACAAACCCTGTACCTGGTGGTGAACAGGCATCGGAGGAAGTGTCAAAATCTCTTCAAGCAATGAAGGAAATTCTGTGTGGGACCACAGACAAGGAGCCACCTACAGAAATTGTGGCTCAGCTGGCACAAGAGCTGTACAACAGTGGCCTTCTAGTGACACTTATTGCCAACCTGCAGCTGATAGATTTTGAGGTAGGTCAGCATCCACAAACCTTTTCATCTTCCTGGTCTCAGTGTTGTCAGTGAGTAGAGCTGTATTTTTCTGGAGTCTAAATAATTTTATTGCGTTTGAAACCATTTTTCACATATTGAAGAAAGCAGCTGCTGTAGATTAGTTAGTGTCCTGATAGACGTGCTCATATACTGGAATTAAATGCAACGCATCTGATTTATTCTTTTTTTTTTTTATTAAAACAAAACCAATAAAGAAATATTGCCCTGTGTATCCAAACAAGATGGGAATTGATGCTGAGAGTATTGTCTATGACCAACCTTGCAAGCTGCAGTGATGAACCTCTTTGGGATGGCGCAACTAGAGCCAACCGCCATCTCTGAAGAGTGTGTCTGATTTAGAAGGGGTCCAGGGACATGGAATGAAAATAATTTGAAGCATGGGAAAATCTCATGTGACAAAGACTGAAAAAAATTAGGATGGCTTAGCTGAGAGGAAAGGAGTTAAAATAGATATTAAAAAGTGACAGCAGGTGGCAAGGTAAATTGGGTTGGCCCCCAGTTAATTCTCTGGATTAAAAGAAGAAAGAAATATAACTTTTTTTTTGCCAGCAGAAAGATTAATGGTAATAGATATGTATAGATATATTATTTAATTTTATATATTTGTATGTAAAATTACGTATTCCATGGAATTCTTTGCAGTTTTGTTGTTAAAGCCAAAAACTTAGTAGACAACTACTAAGACAACTGAACTTGCTTATAAGTAAGGAGAAGAAGAGTTATGGTAGAAAAGATTGCAGCAATTCAAGGTAAATATAAGCCTGTTTTTAATTGACCTTTGACTGGTAGGGACTGGAAAGAAACTTCGTCGCTGGCAGGTCGTTAGACTATTCCTGTGGTCTAGGGTCTGGCAGGATAGTGGGCCCCAGGGACTGCTTTTATGAGTCCTCCAATTTCTGTGGCTCCCGGGTGCTGGTGAATTGTCACGAGCATCTCCCAGGAGCCAAACCTCTGCTGCTGAGGTCGGAAGGAGGAGCGGTACCCAACGTAGAGGGCCGGGCGGCTGCTGAATTTAAACCCCAGCTCCCCGGAGGGATCGCCTGATGCATTCAGAGACACCTTCTGTGGGCGTTACTTTCTTGTGGGAGTTTTCTCTCCTTATTGAAGTTATTTGTTGTTAATTTACTTTCCTTTCTATTTTGTAAATGATGAAAGGGAGGAACGGTGGGAGATTTATGTTTTCTTTTTCCCCCTCTTCCCCCCAACCCCCGTAAAGCCAGGATTCAAGGGACTGATTTATTTAGTTTGTATTAATTTTTGCAAATGTTGTTAGTGGAGTTCTGTCAGTCTTCCTCAGGTCTTAAGTTCAGGAGATTTTTTTTTTTTTTATGCTAGAATTGATTGATATCCTTTAATTCGTCTTCTCCCTGCCACCTCTGGTTACTGTTAAATGTCTTCATTACAGAAAAAAACCCCAAACCCCAACAACACAAAACCCTAAAAATCCAGTAGGTCGTTTATTTGTTTTTAAGAAAAAGGGAGATGGGGGAGGAGAAGATACTGTTAGCAAATACACCACAGAATGGAACCTACTGCATTTTTTTAGTTACCTGACAGTCCGTATTGCTCTTGTCAGTCAAAAAAATTCTGTATGGACAAATTGAACCCACAGTCTTCAAATGCAAGCACTGAATGAAATACCTAACATTGCAAACAATTCTAATAACTCTTATTGGAAAATAGATTTTTCCATGATAAAACTTTTTCAGTCATTTATCAAAGCTGTTATACGTACTCTTTTGGCAAAAGAGTAGAAAGGAAATGTCATTGAACAAGAGGATGGTAAGAGCATGTGCTGCTTTGTCTTCATATTCCCGTTGATTTTTTCAGTTTATCAACTTTTCTGCTTCCATTTTATTATTATATTGGTGGCCGCAGTTGGCATTTAGTTTTCTTTGTTGAACAAGCAATTTCATCACTTTATTACACTCAAATTCACTTTTTAATCCATATGTAATGGTAGAGAGCAAAATAATAAATCACTTGAAAATCTGATTTCTGAAGGGAATAATGTTTATGTAAGTTACATTGGTTTGTCCTGACTCCCTGTCTCCTCCTCACCAACCCCGCTGCCCACTTTGGTCCCAGTTTTGCACAGCTGTACTTCCCTTTGAAGATGTTTTCTCAAAGACTTCATGAAACTCGACGGCTGTTTAGGGGGAGCGAGACCAGAGTTAATGCTCCCACCGAGAAAAAAGCAGAAGCAGAGGCTCGAGTCCTGTCTCATTTGTGTTTCATCTGCCAGTACACTTACAGCACGTGCGGCTGGGGGTGGGCGGGCGTGGAGGGGAAACGTGCGCATGTCCGTCACACGTCTGTAGAAAACACGCTTCTGCCACAGAAGAAACAAGATACCATTCTGATGATGGTATTGTGATGAAGCACTGAAGGTGGATTTGGGCAGGAGCCCAGAATCAAGATTAGACTGGATTTGGGGAAATTTAAAATATTAAATTTATTGTTGAACTTGAAAGAACTGAGGAAAGTGCTCATACAGAAAAAGTCAACTAAAAAAGTAGGTATTACTAGTTGTGTGTAAACCTAAAGGTTCACAACCTGTAAAGCCACTAAAAGAGGCAGTAATTATCTTACAGGACCAGGTCTGGTGATGTTAGAAGCTTTCCCTCGCTTTGTCTTGAAACAGGAGGTAAATTATGGTATCGGTATCATGCAATTTGTTATTTATATAATGGCATCCTTTGCAGTGTTTCTGTTCTTGTCTAGCCCTTTTCTCTCCATGCTGTCTTATCTTGTGCTTCAGCGGCCAGATGTATTTCATTGTAAGGCAAAACTGAATAGCAGATCCAAGTAAGAAGTGTTGCAAAAGTATTCCTACAGTTTTTATAGATGTCTGGTGGTGAGGGAAGTCTATCGTGGTTCCCTCCTATCTGACTTCATGCTCTCCAGGAGAACCCAGAGAGACCAACTTCTTTGGCTTTCACCATTGCTGATCTCTAGAAAATTGGATGTAATTGTGTATATATATATATATATTTATATATATTTATATATATTTATATATATATTTATAACTCTCCTCTCTGAGATATATATATATGTGTGTGTGTGTATTTCCTCTCTTCTATTGAATATAATTCTGCAGTGCACCTGATATTAAGTAACTAATATAAAATTTGGCAAAGCAGAGAGGATCACTTAATTTTGGGCCATTTTCACCTCACCCTTTCAACAGCTTTTCTCTGTCTAGATTGTTTTCATCTTTGAGTAACTGCTGAAGCCTCTGGGATTCCAGGCATACATTACGGATGTTGTAAAGATAGGGGAGAATGGGATGACTTTGTAAAGAATTAGCCTAATTAAGAGAATGTCCAAGGGTCAGAAGTGTTGCAGACAGATGGGCTGGCCTGCTCTGATTTGATTCTCCTGTTTAATTCCCCGAGTCCCCGAGTCTCTAAGCCAGCTGGGTTGGAACAAGTAGGAAAGCAGAATATTTTGTGTTTCTCAGCAGCGATTTATTTGTAGAGGTGAAACCAGGGAATTTCCCTCTGTGTGAAACTATCTGCTCCTTGGCTTCAAACGTTAAATAAGTTCTCCGCCAAGGAATGTTTGTCCTCTCGAGACAGATCAAAGAGCATGTACAGATTATAAGTAACCTTCTGCTTTAGCTTGCCCTGTGCATAGTGACCTGCTGTTGACTCGGTGCCTTGGTTACTGGTCGTTAGTGCAGCGGTCTCCCACCTCCATTAATTTCACACATCAATTTGTCTCCTGCGACCAGGGGAGAAAGCGGTGGGGGAGGATGAGGACTTCTAATGCAAGACGTATTGGTAAACCCTGGGGCTGAATAGAACATGATTTCGAAAGACCGTCTGGAAAGCTGTTTGTATGGGGAAGCATGTGAAGGCAAAACGTGCTTGTGCAGATATGTGCATCCAGGAGAAAATTGGGACAAAGCGAAGGATCTTAGGTGTGACTAGAGCAGAGACATGTATGCGACGCAGCTGTTTCATCAGCAGTAATTATTCCATTCTTCGCAGTGAAATAGTGGGCGCAGTTTTAAATTTAACGCGGATTTTTCAAAAACGCATACACACTTTGCATTGTTTGCATTTGAATAAGGAAAAGCTTTAGCTTTGTAAGTCTAGGCTGTGGGGCGGTGTACGTGGTACGAGCTTGACAAATTTGGAGGCTGCAGGAGCAGTAGTACACGCTGCAAAAGCACGTTTGGATTAGAGCGGTGGCTTGCTTTTTTTGGTACTTTAAAGTTGTTATTTAAGATAGCCAGGAACCTGCTTGACAGAATAAGGGGGATGCGCATCTTAATTTAGAAAAATAAAGGTGTAGATGGGAGTGTGGGGGTCGGTAATCTTCAGAGCCACCTGATGGAGGAAGCCTTCTTGTGGCGTTGAAGAAACAGCAAGTTACGAGGTGGTGGGTCTGTGGAGAGCCCCAAAAAAGAGACTGACTTGTTTTGTTTTCAATTTCATTTCTGCTTTTAAGTAGAGATTGTGGTAAGTGGTAATTTGTTCCTGTTTTTCCAGTTGAAGATATATTTTTCTTCTTTAACAGGGCAAAAAGGACGTTTCCCAGATATTTAACAACATCTTGAGAAGACAGATTGGCACACGCAGCCCTACAGTGGAATACATTAGTGCCCATCCACATATCCTATTCATGCTTCTAAAAGGGTGGGTACTTTAATTTGATTTGCATTAAAGATCATTGCCTGGAACATGCTGGCATTGCAGTTCATCTACACTTTTAGTTTGCTTCTTTGTTTGTTTGTTTTTTTTTAAAAAAAAAAAAGATTTTCACATTTTGTTCCAGACTTCTTATTTGTTTCCTTCATGTTGACTTTCTACTTATCCAGTCATTAAAAAGTATACAGTTTATTTTATTTGGCCGCTATTTCTTCACCAAACTTCATGTTGGAATAATTATGTGCTGATTGTTTTTGACGGCTCCCATGTGCTGTGTACTTCAGTTCCTGCCCTAAACTCTTGTGTAGCATTGTTGACGACTGCTGAGTTTCATTTAGACCATTTTGCATTGCAGGAGTGTCTTATAGTGGTGTCTGTAAATAACTGGAGTCAAACTGGACCACTATGCGGTAGAACAGAGAGAAGAGAAAAATGCATAAAAAGAATAGTCGTGTCTATGGGACAGACTTCTCCAATGCCTGTAGCCACATGTGAACTTCAACTTTAAATTAATTCTGTAATGAACTCCACAACTTTCAGCATTCCTTTTTTTTTTTTTTTTTTGGTCTTTTAACCTTTGAGGGAGTCAGTGCTCAGCTGTAATCCAGTGGTTCCCAAAGTAAGTTGGCCAAGGAGGGGTGCAGATTGCTGTGTGGACAGGACATAAGCTGTAATTGCATTCGGGAGTGCACAAGTGTTGGCCTAAAACTCTTGAGGTTTCTGTCCCCTTTATTTTTGACTAAAGGCACCTTCTGTTCAGTGAGAAGCTTTGTTTTTCCAACCTTGAAATCTACCGTTTCCTGCTCAGTTTTCCTTTGGCTTTAGGATTCTGTTTATTTTTCCCTAAATGAAGGAGAATATATGTGATTGGGATTAAAAACCGGATGTAGAAATAAGTGCATTTGTTATGTGATCAGTGTGAAACGATGTGGACTCTCATAGTAATTGTATGGTCACACTAGTAACAGCCATTCAAAAACATTATATAAACCTTTTAAACTAATGGTTCTTAAGAGAATGAAATTTTTTTGAGTGTCTTTCTTGCTCTTGAGGTTGAATATTTGCAATTTTACCGTTTGCTCCACAGTTAGGAAAGTACTTAAGCACTGTCTAAGGTTTGTGCATGAGAAGGCTGCAGCCCCAGGAGTAAAATTCCCTCCAGCCAGCCTGCCCGCTCTCCCAAGGGCAGACCCGAGCCAGGAGAGGGATAGGCATGGGACTCCTCTAAAATAGTTATTTCCTTCCAAACTGGCCACGTTCCAGCACAGCTGAATAGGGGGGGAAAAAAAAAAAAAAAGTAACCAAGATAACTAGTCAGTAGGAGAGATTTCAAGAACTGTGAGCTTGTGGTTGAAGGTGGTGGCAAAGCTTCTGGTAGCTGTGACAGGAGGTGGAAGGCAGGGCGGTGGGGAGCCGGGGCAGGTGGCTGGGCTGAGCTAGGTCTTACTTTTACAAGTTTAGTGATTTGTTGTGATTTAGCTTTAATTTTGAAACACTTGTGTTGTTTTGTGTTACTAAATGCCAGTTTTCTCAGAAAGGAAACTAGTTAAATTGATTTTGGTTTCATTTGTTCATTAAAATTCACCGTTTATATAAACTTCGAACCAGTCGTTTCCGGATGGTGATAATTCCCTCAGTCATCGTTAAGCTGTGCAACTGTTTTCAATAGATACAATAATTTTCTTCTCTTTTCTACGTCTTTGCTTTTTCATTTTTTTCACTCATTTTGTTTTTGCACATTGCGCCTGCATCGCTACCTTACGTCTGGGCTTTATTTAAAGCAAAAAAAAAAAAACAAACAAAAACCTTGGATCAAGATTTTGTGTTACGAATACATGCTGCTGACAGACATTTCACTGCAGGTGACCTGAGCCAGTGGATGTATTTAAATGGCACCACTTAGGTGTTTTTTTGGAGATTGCTGCTGTACGTAGCAGCATGTCGGTGTTAGTTTGCTCCTCAGGCTCATTGCTCTTGATTTCTTGGCTATCTCTCAGCAGCACTGCACTGTATCAGAATTGCCATTTCTGGAGTTTCTTGTTAGAAAGTGCTGTTGAGTTCATCAGCAGTGGCCCAGAAGACAGTCCTATCCTTCCCCGACAGTATTGGAGCAGCTGCTGCAGAACAGTGTCATGATGTCAAACATGATGCTCTCTTTCTGTCCTGGTTTGAGAGCAGAGGGCAACTGAGCACCATGCAGCCGCTCACTCGCCCCTTCCCCCTCGGGAATGGGAAGGAGTAAAATATAACAAAAGGCTTGGGGATTGAGATAAGGACAGGGAGGGATGACTCACCCATTATGGTCACAGGTAAAAGACAGACCCCTTAGGGGAAGAAAAACCCCATCAATTTAATTCAAACACTACCACCACCACCACTTAGCAGAGCAGGACGGTGAGTAGCATTACCACATCTTAAAAACACCTTCCCTCCACCCCTCCCTTCTTCCCGGGCTCAGCTTTGCTCCCAGTTTCTCTACCTCCTCCCCTCTAGCAGCTCAGGGAGGGCAAAGTGTGGTCGGTCCTGCCGCTCCTTCCTCCTTCGAGGGAGGGCTCCTCGCACTCCTCCCCTGCTCCAGCGTGGGCTCCCTCTCACAGGAGACAATCCTCCACGAACTTTCTCTGACGTGAGTCCTTCCTATGGGGGGGGGGATGCATTCTTCCCAAACTGCTCCGGCATGTCCTCCCAGTGCTGAACTGCAACAGCGGGAGCTTCTTCCCTCGGAGGCCCGGCCTTCTTCGGGTGCAGCGCCCGCTTCGGCGTGGGGTCCTCCACGGGTTGCTGCTCGACATCTGCTCCACCGTGGACCTCCACGGGCTGGAGGGGGGTAGCCCTGCCCTCTCACCAGGGACTGCAGGGGGGTCTCTGCTCCAGCTCCTCCTCCTCCTCCTCCTCCTTTCTCCCACTGACCTTGGTGTTTGCAGAGGTGTCCTCCTCACAGCTCCCACTCTTCCCCCCAGGTTCCCCTTCTTAAATACGTTATCACAGAGGCACGGCCACCACCACTAATTGGCTTGGCCCTGGCCAGAGGTGGGTCTGACGTGGAGCTGGGGGAGCTTTGAGAAGCTCCTCACAGGGGCCACTGCTGTAGCCCCCTCCCCTGCTACCGAAGCCCCCGCCACAGGCACACAAACCCAGCACACTTACCTACGTCCTGCTGCCGGGGCTGTCTAAAAACAGCGCTTAAAATGTGTGCTTACAGCACATTAATGCTAAATGAAATATGCAAAATAAAAATCCGCTTAAAGGAAATGAAAGTCGATTTGCCTGGCTTGTACCGTTCTGTGTTTGTTATATGACATTATCTGGAGAGAAAAAAAAAAAAAAAATATTTCTACCATGACCATAAAAGAAAGAGCTCAGGACTATTGTGAAGGCTTGTCATTGTTTTACTTGTACTGGATGCAAAATTTCCTCTACCCCCTGACAGTCAGTTCCCAACAGCATCAACAAAAGATTGCTTTTTCGTTGCATAATGTGAGCTCTCTTGAGTGGGAAGGATCCTGAATCAGAGCTCCTGCCCAGTGTTTCCTGACTAACACTCCAGTGGCACTGCCAGCTTGAGATAACTGTTCCTACCTTTTAGGCTTCATTTTACTTGTTGGCTACTTCCTTCCAGCTTCTCAGCTTCAGAAAAACATACAGCACATAGTTCACTACTTTTCCCCCCTCCCCCTTTTTTGGGGTGAGTTAATTGACCTTTCTGCTGCATGAGGACTTGCTTTAATAATATCTTATTTTCGGTGTGTGCAGGCTTTGTGTACGAGTAGGATTTCAGATGAATACAACGTTTGGTGTCTATGGAGCACCATAGATATCTGGGCCAAATTTTTTCTGTGGTGTCAGCATATTGTGTTAGCCCAGAAATAACCTTGTAATTTAAAATATTTTCCCTCTAGTACAGTGACTGTAGAGGACTTGAAGTTTGTGGCATTTGCACTGTTTCTCACAAGTGACAAGTTTGTAAGCTCTTTTGTGAATGTGTGCCATGCCACATGCTATGTCTAACATACTTAGTCACTGCACCGATCTGTTTTGTGCTGACTTCTTCTTATCACAGTGCAGTCAAAGCTTTAATGCTATATTGGCTGAAGTTGCAGAATTCCCCAATTTTATCCTTGGATGAACTCAGGCTATAGAAAGTAGTGTAAAATCAGATCAGGCTGTAGCTGTTAGCCAAGACCTTATGTCTCCCAGGCTCGATGCCTTCCCACTCCCCTGCCTGCACTTCTACCATCTTCTGCACCAGCCATGCAAGTATGATTCCTTTCGCACTGAGATGCATCTCTGCTCTCAGTCTTGCCTCTTCCAGCCTCCACAGTAAGTGTTTTGAAATCTTCTAAGTCCATTATTTCTTTTTCTGGTTGCCTCCAGTAGTCAGTACGTGGGGGTTTCTTTAGGTTGTAAGTACATCCGAACAGAGAAGAACTCATTTTTTTTTTTTTTTTCTGCTGCAGGAATGCATCATCATAGAGCACTAATGGCTCATTAGAAGTGATTTTGAAGCACATTTCTGTCATTCCTGCCTAATGGCTTTGCATGTAAGTGTGGGTGCAGAGAACATGCCAGTTATGACTGGGCAGCCTGTATACTTCTTCCAGGCATATTCCAAAAGCCAAGCCCAACTTCCCTCGTTTATGTGAACACCCAGAGGTCCATAACCCACTTCCAGATAATTGAGCATTTGACTAAGAATGATTCTGTTGATACTTACATTTTAAAAAGTTATTGTGCTGGAAACAATGTAATTTGCTTTTATTCCAACCAAAATATTCCTTAGCCAACAATTAAATATTTTCCTGGCTGCAGTCCTAGGAGCAACTCCACCTCTTTCTTCCTTGAAGATTCGTATTCCTGTTAATGGAATTGAGGGGAGGTATTCCTCAACGGGAAACAGCGAATCTCCATTGTCTAAAGGGTTTTAAATTCAGGTTTGCAAATATTTCCCAAAAGGAAACAAATAGGGGCTTGAGTGCCTGCATTTCCTTGAGGGTGGGAAGATTCGTTTGCCTGTTTGGAATAGTAATTCATTTTTCATTAAGCCAACTATTGTTGACATCAGGTTGAAGTATGCAGCTCTGGTATGCTCACAAAACACTACCATTCTTTTAAATTGCAAGCTGGTGGTAAATTTGAGGGCCCACTCACTTACAGCACAGATGGCATTTTGTGTTTTTCTTCTTTTTTTTCCCTCTTTTGGCCTACTGATAGGAATTAATTGTGCAAAGGAAAAACGATGCTGATAAGCTCTGGGTGATAATACACAGTTCTGATATAGTATAACCAGGTTATTGAAACAGAGCGTGCTTTCTGTACCCTTGGACTTTGCCACTTTCACATGACTGAAGATTGCTGGAAGAAGTTCATTTTAAGTCCTTCCTGAATGTTGGATTTCATCCTTTTTTTTTTTTTTTTTTTTTTTTTAAATTGTTTTTCTCACAGTTTTGTTTCAGATTAATTTCAGCTTTAAAGAAATCAAGACTCTATAGAAATGGAAGATGATCTGAATTGCCTCGCCCCTCCCTCCCTCTCCAGGACTGAGAAGTGTGCTGGCTCCTGGCTGTTGAATGCGTGTGCCATAACAGGGTTGTAACTTGAGGAACGAATACTTGTCTCCTGAACAAAGTTGTAGCCTCTGTAGAGGAGGGATTGAGCAGAATTCTTCCTGAAGTGCAAAAAAGGTCTTCAGAGCTACAGAAAGCTTAATCCTGCATAGATTGCCTGGACAGGCTCGTCCTACTTTCTTCATTAGACATTAATATTCTAGAGCGACGTTCTCTGTAAGAGGAGTAGGAGGTGATGGATGGTCATGAGGTGTTAGATTTTTCTCAGATAAACTGAGAAGCTCAGAATTAAATCTGAAAAGGGATATTTTTGTGTTGTATGGGCTTTGCTTTCTCATAAATCTGAAAGGGTGAAGGAGCTCTGTTGAAATGTTACGCACTATCCCTCAGTTTTTCCACAGAGAGGAGGTGTAAGGCACATTTACATCGGTACGTGTTTTGGCTTGCAAAGGCAGAGGTTTTGTGCTGTGAAACACTGGCAGGTTTATCTGTGTGTCTGCTCCTTGGCTTTGGGCCGGGGTCCTGAAGCTGGGTACGGTGCTGTGACTGGGAGCTGCCATCCACGTGCCGCGTCCCCTCTGGTACACGTGTTCCCCGTACCACAAGGTTCCCCATTGCTGGAAAAGTGCCCGTTTATCTTTGGTTCTCTGCATTTTGATCTCTTCTGTTTCTTTTCGTTCTTCAGATATGAATCCCCAAATATTGCCTTACGCTGTGGAATTATGCTGAGAGAGTGCATCCGGCATGAACCCTTGGCCAAAATCATACTTTTCTCGGAACAGTTCAGAGACTTTTTTAAATATGTGGAAATGTCAACGTTTGATATAGCTTCTGATGCCTTTGCTACATTCAAGGTAAATTATTCAATACCTGCATCATAGCATTGTGTCAAAAATGTCACTCCATCAATAGACATCAGAATGTTGTGTTGCCTTTAAACTGGGTGGCTTTTTTTATTGTTCAGTAAAGTAGATAATTAATCCTTGGTCCGTTTGTAACAGGATTCACAACAGTGATCAAGTCTGCAAAGAATCTTTACCTCAATACAGCTTTACATTTCACTAACGTTCTTTACCTTGATAACTCAAGGTGTTTTATGCGACCATTTAAAACTCAAATTAACCATGTGTTACATACAGTTGTAAAACACATAAACTTTTTCTGTCCCTACCTTCCCCCCGGAGACAAAACCACTACCCGTCATGACCACAACCAGTCAACGGAAGGAATCACTTAAAAGTAAATTTTTAAACCCTTGTAATTTCTGCTGTCCCTTCTGAGTATGGCAGTCAAGTTTAAATTAATGCCGTGCCTGTGGATTGTTCTACAACATACAGTATGCTTACTTTTGTGACCCATGGTGTAGTGTAAGGACAATACTGCTAAGAGCTAAGCAGGTGACAGCACTGCATAGACTCTGTATACAGTCTCTATGTTGTATTAAAAATTAAGTAGGGTGAAGTTTGCCAAATTTCTTGGAGTTTGTATGTGGCCATTGTCTTTCCTGCAAGGTACTAGTATAATCTTTGAGCAAAATTTGCTGCTGATGAGCTTAACGTACAGGGAAAATCAGTTTTTTTCTGAAAAATCATTTAAGCAAGCTGGGGAAAATCCTTCTCAGGTAAAGACTCTTTTAAATATAGGTGTGACTCCTTTTTCCTTCTATCATTGAGTTCCTTGCTGTCATAGAAACAAGTTGTTCGTTCGTTCCTCTCAAAGCTAACTAGAAACATGATTAGATAGACCTTAGAAATAACTGTAAGGAATGTTAGAGTTCAGTTCAGCAGCTCAATGCATGCTGAAACCCAGCCTCGGTTTTTACTCACCTGCTGAATGGGGTAAAGATTTGCATAATGGAGATAATGTTGCATTCTTCAGTGGTGAGTCCAGCAGGATTACCAATTCTAACCACCTGTTAATCAGGAGCAGCACCTTTCCATTATTTTACATTGCACTGTCGTGGTGGTGTTCGTTAGGTGACTGCTATGAAAGTGGAAGTAGCACAGAAACACAGACAAGTAAAAGTACAGTGTAGGACTCTATAAAAAAAACTGCAGACTGCTGCAACCCTCCCCAGAAAGGAGGGATTGATGTAGTTCACAGATTTACAGCTGTGGAACTTACTTCTGTCCCCTGTGATCTGAGTGTATTTTCAGCAGGATTTAAAAATAGGATTCTGCATCCTCACGTGCGCTGGAAAGAGAGGAGGATGAGGGCAGTTCATCCTCAGACACAGGGCAGAAATCACCTTTTGAAATGCTTGGGGAAAATCTACAAACTGCATTTTTAAAAAATTTCCCCTTATTTTAAGTTGCCTGACCTGGATACATGGTCAGTTCTGGAAATAAACCAGCTGTTCACCCCATCTCCTATCTGTCTGTTACTCTGAATAGCTGGAGCAGCAAGAAGTGATGCGGAAGCGACTGAATCATGAAATATGAAGCTACCTCATTTCTAATACCGTAAAAATACGTGCTGCCATTGCTCGCTGGCTGGATTACTGAACTCGTGTTTTCAGTTCTATTTCTCCCATGCTGGGTTTGTAGTGGTGCCACCGGGGTGTCTGGATCAGAGCTGAAAGCCTCGGATAGTCTGTGCACCAGAGGAGCGCTAATTAAATGTGCATTAAAGTCTGAGGATATTTATAGTAGGGAAGTACTGGAATTTTTGATGACGTGGAGATGTGCTTCTTAATTAAATTCAGCCAGGTGCACTGCAGAGAGGAAACAGAGCTGCTAAAAATGCAGAGGAAAGCAGCTTGTGTTTAGAGATTTAGTTGGCTGTGGAGGATACCAGCAGTGGTTGGAAGAGCACTGATTGAATACTGCTGCTCCACACTCTCTCGTGATTTTCTGTGAAAAATTCATTTTGAATTATATTCCATTTGTGCCCCCTACTGAAAAATGTTGTACTTGTCTCCAGAGTGCCCTGCATAAAAGCTTGTGAATCATGTTTGTTGCACTCAGCCTTTTAAACTGCTATAATTGTAGTCCAACTAAATAAAGGAATGCATTAAAAGCATGTACTGGATTTTATAGCACTCTGCTTTTCTCTTATAGTTGATGGTAAAAATAAATTAAAGGATTAGTATGTAAAGGATTTCTTTTATTTGTGATGCTGTAGGGGATGTGTTTGTGCATCTACTTCACCTGCTTAGCAGCTTCAGTCTGACTGTGGGTAAGGAAACCAAGGAAAAGATGATGAAAAAGATAGCAAAAAGCAAATTGACTGAAGAAATATCAACTTGAATGGACTTAAGCAGGCATTCATTGTGATCAGTGTAACCTTTTAAGAGAGTCAATAAGATAAAAATTAAACTTTAATGCCTCAAACTGGCCACTTCTTTTCATAGCTATTCATCCAGCGAAGAGACTCGATCTCTTCTGGAGCTGAGCATTTGCATCTCTGTTGCTGAGCACCGGCATTCCCAATCTGTGGGAGAGGTTGCTTTAATTTAAATTTTAATTAGTTGGCCTTTTAGCATGGAAGGCATCCCATCTAGCTGCCTCAAAGGTCTGAAAGGCATCTCCCATCTGTCCCCGCTTACTTTCTTCCTTTCCCCTAGCCCAGTTTATTGTAAGTATTGTGCACTATGGCCATAAGAAAAGGTGGGAGGGAAAAGGAGCATAAAGAGAGTGTTAGAACAGTTTTATACTGATTCTGTTAGCATTAGCTGAGTTCTCCTTAAAATCCTACTGAGCACACAATGCAGCATTGTTTTTAAATGCTGTCTATAGACGTGTTGTAAATATCTTCTAAAATATGACCTGCTGAAAAATGCTAAAGTATGTTTGAGAATCAAGGGACAAGCAAGTGAGCACTCTCTCTCAGATAACCTTCCTCTGTTCTTCCCCAGGACCTGTTAACACGACACAAATTGCTGGTAGCAGAATTTCTGGAACAAAATTATGATGCAGTAAGTATAAATACTAGAAGGATTTTTAAAAATCTGTTCGTGCTTAGCTGGAAAAAGTGCGTTTTCGATAGCAGAGAGTTTCATGCTCCGCATAGAACAGTCACATCGGACTGCAAAACTAAACATGGCTTTTGCTAAAGCAGAATCCTTGGATGGCATTTGAAATATACAGGTACCCCCTCCGCACGCACAGGGGTCCACGTGCCAAGGTTTCAGGAGCACTCATAATCTAAAAGCAAGTGTTATTCCTCCCTGCATGCATCGTATCTCCTCATATGTGAATGGAGCTGTAAACTTTGTATGTAAATAGATCGTGGGGCAAAAATGTGCACGTTTTTCAGCAGTTTTGTGATATCCCAGCACCGATAGGGCCATACCGGTGTTATTCAGAATACTTTAGGGCAGAGGAGAAGAGGTACTGGGAGAAGTTTTAGCATTACTGGAAATTACATATACCTCGATGGGGGACTGAGGTGTGAGTATTCCTTTTGCCATCCAAAGGCAATGAGTCCCCTTGGTTTGCTTCCATTTTTCACTTTGATTTTTTTGGCTCGGTTTTGAACAAAATGGGGGTCAGAAAAATTCCATTGGAATCAGCTAAAATTGGACTGATACAAATCACGGAATTAGACTACAGGTTATGTTCTCACGTTACCTGAGGTATTCTTTATTTCATTGCCAAAGTGGAAAGGCCGAAGACTATTTCTTTCATTCTAGGGTTACCAAGAAGGTTAAATAAAGATCAGGCTTATTATTGCTGAGTCACAAATGCAGCTTAACTGGAGCAAAATTAGTGTCTCTGCTAATCTTTTCTCTTAATAGTGAAGCACTGCACTGGAACAGTCCCCATTCTACGTTTATTTAACACTTAAAATTTTTAAGTATAAATTGTGGAAGTGAGCATTTTTTTTTCTTTTTTTTTTTTGATGATTCTTGGACAGCAGTGTTGGGCTTTTTTCCATATTTGGTAGATGGTTTGAGCATATTGTAGCCTTCTTTCTTGGTCTTCTTGACCGCAAGATTCCTTTGGCCCAATCCTGCAAAAGCCAGCACGCGCTGGGCTCCCAGTGACCCTCGCTGGGCAAGTGGCTTTAACGAGCGAGGGTGCTGGAGAAAGGTGAGGTGGCACCTCCTAAAAGGAGCTTTTGGCACACGCCAGTATGGGATGTCACCAATTTGGGACGTTGTATTAAATCACACGGCGAGTCATGGCCGGGATGTGAGTGTGAGTGGATGTTCCGTGCTGGACTCGCGTGTCCTGGCAGCAGATTCACCCTCCTGTGAGAGGAGGCTGTACAGGCACTGGCTTACTTCTGTCCTAGTTGGCTCACACCAGCTCCTGTTACGGCCAGTCCATATGTGGTATCCCTCTCTGCAGTGTTTGGAAGTGTTCTGGGCATTAATTCACTGCATGATAACCAGCCAAGAAAAAAGGCCGCGGTTGCTGGGCCTGGCGTTGCACTGAAGTGTTAGGGGGTGGCACTGCCGTGGCCTCTGCTGCTCCTCTGGGCCGGGAAGAGAAGGGATGAGCATGAATCAGATGTATTTGTGCTCTCTTGTTGTTCTAGATCTTTGAGGATTATGAAAAACTCCTTCATTCTGAGAATTACGTAACGAAGAGACAATCTTTGAAGGTAAAGTCAAGCCTCTCAGCACTTTCCTTCTAAATTTGAACTCCACGTTATGCAGAATATCAAGATGCGTGTATGGCAACGGAGCAGCCGTGTACTTTCTAACAAAAAAGAAACAAGTGCTTGGGATGCTCTTCTTACAGTGCACAAGAGCTCGCCGTGTCTTTTCGTTCCTGGATCTCTGGTGAAGCATTGAGCTGTTTCTATGGAACAAGCACTATCGTTTTTCCTCTGACCTCAAATCTGTACTTTGGTTCAGAACGTAGGTTAAAATGAACTTGGGAGTAACGTGATAGTCTCTGTTTCTCTGGTGCTGCTTGCTGCTACAGCACCAAGTCTGACATGACCCGCAGATGGGACCAGATAGGTATGCTAATGCAACATCCGAATGAAATGAAGGTGTCTTTGTGGGACAGCTGCACCACACTTGTTTCTGTCCTAGCTGGCTCACACCAGCTCCTATTACACCCAGCCCCTGTGTGGGATCCCTCTCTGTAGTATTAGAAGGCGAGGGTTACTGGGCATTAAGTAAAGCACTGCATGATAACAAGTGTAGTTACTTTTTTTTTTTTTTTTAAAAGGTAGTGCTGTTGAGAGCCCTCTTAGGCAAGCATTAAAATATGTTGCTGCTTTCTCTGCATTCAAAAATAATGTGGTGAGCTGAAAAAAAATGTGTTGTTTTTTGTTTTTGTTTTTGTTTTTTTTTTGGTAATTGTGTCTATAGCTGCTGGGTGAATTGATTCTGGATCGACATAACTTTGCCATCATGACAAAATACATCAGCAAACCAGAAAATCTGAAGCTGATGATGAACTTGCTGCGAGATAAAAGCCCCAACATTCAGTTTGAAGCGTTCCACGTGTTCAAGGTGAGTTAGTATGGGCTGTAGAGGTGACAGGTTTTCTCTTCCCCTCATTAAAGTGTCTTTCAAGTTGGGCAAGAGAAAGCCCAGAAAATTAAGGCAAAGGTTGGGGTTTACAGTCATTTTCAGCATTTGAGAATGTCTTAATTGAAAACCTTTCTGTCACTCAGCCTCTGATTTCTGTTTGCCTTCCTTTAGATGAGATCTAAAGGAGCATCATTTTGGTTTGGGCTGAGGGTGGCCAGTTGAGTAGCGATGAGGTGGATGCTACAGGTAACAAAATACACAGCTTCTAGGTGGTATCCAGGGTACCTTCCCCCAACTCTTAGGTCATTTAACCATGTGATTCTGGGTAAAGACTAAGAAAAAAAGTCTTAAAACTCTACATTAAAACTACAAGTAGATGGAGCTGGCCCTGTGCATCAGTGCAAGCACAATCTGCTTTTTAAAGCTATTAAAAAGATTTGATAAATCTGAGCTTGAAATGAGTATAATCCTTCTGCCCTTTTGCAGTGATCATTAATGCAGTCTTAAACAATTACCAGACCCAAACAGTGTCCCATTTTTCATGATGATTAATGTTAGTAGGTGAGAAGTTTACCATTTTCCTATCAAAAAAAATATCTGTTCTGGGACGGAGGGCGGGTTGAATTGTTATTATGCAAAACTACCTTTAATTTGGAATGAATACATTAATTTCAGACTATGCAAATAGAGTTGTTAATGATTTTCAGAAGAAGAATACTGGGCCTGTAAGGATATCCTTCCCCAAGACGGTTAAGAAAGATACCAGATCACACCAAAAGGCATGCTATTGGAAAAAGGTTACATCACCCTCCACAAATTCAGGGTGACTTGTTAAGTTTTGTACTTCTGCCATTCCTGATTTGGAAAAAAAAAGCTTTCAGATCTTCAGTGTGGAGGCTTAGAGGGTGTGCAGCTTCTCTGACAAGCTTTCCGTTTCCAAAAAAAAAAAAAAAAAATACTTCAAGGAGAAAATTTTTAAAAATTCCCTTCCTGAAATAAGCAGCTTGGTAAGCTGTTCCCTTGCTGACTTCCTCCATAGTCAGCTGAACCACTGTGAGTAACTTCTACTCTTCCTTCTTATCAGGAGGTATGCGGCTCCAAGATAAGCAAGCAGTCAGGCTCCAAACACTTGCAGCCTTTGACATGCCTGTGGAGGGAAGGGATCAGAGGATTGGGCTCTCTTAGCTGCTCTGTGAATAAATGCCATTATTTTTATGTATGAAACACATGAGTTGCTGTTCCTGAATTAATGATAGTCATGGCCCAGGCCTCGGGAACAGCTGATTTTGCTTATTTTAAGAGGCATTTGAAAGGATTTGGAATAACTTGAAAGGATTTCAGTGTGCAACCATGTCACGCACTGCTATTGCTCCCATTCCACCTTCCCTATTCCTCTCTCCCTTTCCTTTTCCAGTATGTTGCATCCCATTTCCAGTTATAGTGGGGACGTTGTAGGCTCAGCCTTGCTTGACTACTTGCAGTCGCTATCACATGGCCATAAACGCTGAGGCCTTGGGGTGCCCAGTGAAACAAACTGTGCCTGGTGGTAACTCTTCAGTTCAAAGGGCCAAACTCTGTCCTCAGGTCCTAACCTCCACGGGATGCTGTGGTTTTGGTTTTTTTTCCAGTGGTACCCGTCGGCATTTAAGCGGTGCCACGGCATTCCTCCCGCCATCTCACATGCCCAGTGCTTGTTGTGGGGAAATTGCAGGCTCGGAGCAGAACCTGGTCAGCTGGAAATTGCTTATTTATAACCACCAGCAGCGCACCAGAGTAACTCCAGAGGTGCAGCAGAGCTCCCCTTTTAGGTCCTCGCTGAGGATCTGGGTTAGCTGGATGTAGCATTCAGCTTCTCCCCGGTGGGCAGGGTAGTTTTAGGGCACGTTACAGAAAATTACATCGTGAATTGGCTTTGTAGAGCGGGCCAGAGTAGATCATTTTCCTCTGATTTCACTTCTTAAATTGAATTCTAACTTCTTGACAACTGCTAAAGGAAATCCTTAAACAATTAAGGGAGTGGGGAAAGCCGCTACTGGCTGGTTGTGCCTCCTGTCCTGCAGTGTCCCTGCCTCCTGTTTCTGGGTTGGTGTCCCTCAGCCCAGTTCTCGTCAGCTGTACTAATTCCATGCTAGTGTAACTGGGAGAGGAATCTTGTCCTCGGCTTTTAATCTCATAAATTTTAAACTGTGCCTGCATTTTTAAATTGTGCTTGCAAAATACCTGTGCGGTCCTGGTTGAAATTACAGTAGACTAACCACAGTGATTTGAAATCAAAGGTCTGCTGAGAAGTGGATACTTGCTGCTCTGTCTGAGCTGCCAAAAGATTTGGGTTTAAATTACCTGATTTAGATGTTTCACCAGTTAGACACAGTTGAAATGAAAAAGTGCTTGTTTTGTAAGCACCCAGATTCCTACACTCCCATGCCCCAGCTGACCCAAAAAAAGGCACATGACTTACCGCCCTGAGGCAATTTCTAATTACTGAAGATTCAAAACTGTAGAGATAGAGGTTAAAATGATGAGCACCTCTAGTGCAAAAATATTTTGCAGGAACATTTTATGGTTGAAAACGCCAGTACCTGTCCTGGTTTCAGCTGGGATAGAATTAGTTTTCTTCCTAGTAGCTAGCGTAGTGCTGTGTTTTGGATTTAGGATGACAATAATGTTGATAGCATGCTGGTGTTTTAGTTGCTGCTGAGCTGTGCTTACACTAAGTCAAGGACTTTTCAGCTTTTCATGCTGCCCTGCCAGTGAGGAGGCCGGGGGGTGGGGGGCACAAGAAGCTGGTCAGGGACACAGCCAGGACAGCTGACCCAACCTGGCCAGATTCCATACCATCGGGTGTCATGCTCAGCATATAAACTAGGGGGAAAGCTGGCTGGGGGCTGCTGCTGGGCACCAGTTGGTGGTGAGCAATTGTTTTTCATTTGCATCACTTGTTTTTCTCAGGTTTTATTTCTCTGTTATTTTCCTTTTCCTTACAGTTGTTTTATTATTATCGTCACCGTCATCTTCATCATAATGACGTTTAATTTCAATTATTAAACCATTCTCATCTCAACCCACAAGTTTTCTTACTTTTACCCTTCTGATTCTTTTCTCCATCCCACCAGGGGGGTGAGTGAGCAAGCAACTGTGTGATGCTTACTTGCCAGCTGGGGTTAAACAATGGCAGTACCCCTTCAAGCCCTGAGAACATTTAATTCATCCAGGATGCTTTTGGGTGGGAAATTGAAGGCAGCCAGAGCTCCCACTTGCAGTGCCTCCTCCCGTTCTCCACTGGGGAGATGCTCGATCTTCCTCCAGCTCCTCCTCTTCCTTTTGCCTGAGCAAAATGGAGCTTCTATTTACTCATTAGGAAAAGCTAACAGACCTCACCCCTTTCCTCCTCCTCCACAAATAATCCGGTGGGGTTGCCTAGAGCCGTGGGCTTTGAGAGTCACCGGTTCTTCTCTGCGTTGACTTCAGTGGAGAGCTCCCAGTCTTGAGCACGTACACGTTGAGGACCAAATGTTGTTGGGAAGGACTCTCCAGATCCTGTGATGGGTTTGTGAGAGTTATTGGTGGAGGCTGCTTTGAGCTTGCCCGTAGGGGAGAGCAAAGCTCTCAGACACGCGTCAACATGGTGTGGGTAGTCCTTTGACCTTACGCATCTACGACTAAAAGCTAATAACAAGCTCTCTTGGCTTTCACATAAACAAATAGATTATTTTGAGGAAAACACCCTGTAGCGGTGAATTGGGATCATACAACGTTCTTAAGCAGACATTTAGCAAGACACATTTTACTGTTTAAATCTAAAAATAGAATGGGTACACTGTGTTTTCTGACCTTAGTTTTGTTTTTCCGTTCTCTTTCGTGCACATTAGAGTTACCTCCTGCAGCTTGCTCTGCAAGTGGTCTCACATAATTTGACCATACTGACAGTTTCCTCTCGGTACAGAGCTGAAACCACATTTGTGGGGATGTGTCCTCTCTGTTTCTAAGCTGGAGAATTTAAAGGGCAAGAAGTGTGACACGGAGCATTGCGCTATAAGCTACATGAACCACAAGGCATGTCCTGTGTGCAGTTTCCTGACACAGGAAGATTGTGCGTGACCCCTGAGTAAGGCTTAAAATACCCTGTCCAGGGTATCCAATCCCTGAAATTGCTTTTGTTCTGCTGTAGTCCCAGAGGATGGTGATGCCTGGTTATTAATGGTAAGGAAACAAGGTCAGATTCTATAATCAAGTGATTTTGGTATTTGTTTGAAGAAATACAGTGTATGACTCTTAATGGAGAAGAGAGCAACAGTTCCACTTTGGACAACTCTTGAAGCTTCAGAGTTGATTTTCATTCCAGACCTTTTGCAAGTATTCACAAAGTGGAACTGTGCTGAAACGGCTATTTTTAGAGTTGGAATTTTAATATGAGTACTCTCTTTATTTTGCTCTCTGTCTCTCTTATAGATCTTAATTCAGTGCTCTAGAATACGCAACCTTTCATAATAAAACCATAGGTTAAAGTTTTCTGTGAAGTGTTTCAGCTTCAGTTATACATTATTTTAGCAGAAATGTTCTGGATAGCATTAATAATGATTTCTGGTTTCAGGGATTTATCCCCTCCTCTGTATCAGTACAGAATTCTGAATGTGGGGGGCTCGTTTAAAGATAAAGTCTCGTGGTGGTCCTAATCCAAGGCTTTGTGAAGCTGATTAGTTGGTACCGGCAGGATTGATTCTATTTGCTTAGCCAAAGTATTTAATAACATTTCAGGAATTTTCTGGTCCTTTAACATTTTCTTTATGAGTCCCTGCTGACATTGAGCAAGACTGGCAGTCAAGATGATCTGTGTTTGAATGTTCAGCTTGACAGTTTTGCAAGGGGAAGATTATAATCTATAAATAATCGAGCAGGAAGATAAACAGGATGTGATGTCTTCTATTAAACCAAGTTCTTTAATTATTTGCTATGGTAATGCCAGTTGTTAGACCAATACGAAATGCTGGTATTTACTAGGTTTAACACTAAAACCTCCCGGTTCTGCTTGACGACCAGAGTATAGGTTTTACAAGAAGAATGATTTAGGTTTCTTCATTTTGAGAGTCAGCCTTCACCTATCCTTGTAAGGAGGCCTTATATTCATTGAAGGAAGGTGTTCAGCAGTTCTGTAACAGATCCCATTTGCACTGTAATCAGATTATTTCTGGAAATGTGGGTCCTGACAGTGTTCTTGACGGTTTTCTTCTCCTGGTCGCAAAGGGGGAACCGAGCTCCAAAATTAAAAACATTTAATGAAGATCTGTAACGGTTACTTTCCTCATCCCCGTATGCTTACATACTGCTTTTCTCAGAGGAGGCTCGTCCAGATGTCCCGGGACTTGTCACAGTCCAAATCCTGGAAGTATCCGGCCTCCATCAGTGTGGTGACCTGCTGTGGGTCAGCACGTGGGGAGCTGCATTGCGGGGCGGCTCGAGCTGAGACCGTGAACTGCTGCAGTCTCAGCCACAGCCAAACATTTGTACCCACGAGATTTCAGGATTCGTGTCCCTTCGATAAGGCACAGACTGGAAGGCTGTAAAATCCATTCAGCAGTGATTAACATCCCCAAAGCCTTTATTTATTTATTTATTTATTTTCTCATGGGGGGAACTGATGCATCGATAGCAGCATATCGAAGTTATTTGTAAGAGAAGGCATATTGCTTTCAAATGCTGCAGGCAGGGACAGAACACTCAGCTATCCACAGACCATTAAGTGTAGTGGGAGCTGTGAACTGGCTGTCCAACCCACTGGTAAATGTGTCCCTGGTAAGATGTTGCGCTTGGAGTTCTTGGGAGCATCTCTCAGGAAAGCTGGTATTGAAGGGATCCTTGAGAGCTGGGTTTGTTGGTGCTACTCTTGAGAAGTTTTAGGTGGCAAGTAGGCATAAAAAGGAGTTATTTTGAAATTACAGCACCGGGTCTTTTGATAAAGGTGACATGGAGGCCTGTGCAAAGAAAGCAAGAATAATTATAGATCTTTTACTGTCACAGGGATCACGCCTGGCCACTGGATCAAGGAAAACTTTGTAAAAGACTTGGGGCCTGGGAGCAGCATGGCAGAGGTTGCAGCTCTTTCCCCAGAGGGAGAAAGTACGCTGAAGTAGGGACTCCTAGGAGAGACCTGAGGAGGAGGGATCCAGAGGAGGAAAAAAAGCATAGGCAGGGATTAGGGCTCTTATGGCATCAGGATGCCAGGGTTTAAGAGTAGGTGCTTTGCCTCAGCTATATGGAGTAAAAAAAAAAACCCCAGTCCTACCTCCCCACCTGTGCAGAAGTGCTTAGCGTGGCACTGTTGATCTGTGCCAAGCCCCATTCCTTCCACGCATTCCCCCCGTGTGGCATTTTCCACACCACCCGTGTGCAGTCCCCTGACTGGGACGTACGGACCCTAGCGATGGGTCCAGCCGGAATCCTCTCCCAGGCTTTTACCGGGTGCTGTTTCTGGGGTCAAGGGGGCTGTGTAACACAGCCCCCCCCCGCCCTCCAAGGGCGGTGTGTGCACGTTCCTCGTCGTGTCACACAGCACCAGCACCTCCCTGCGCAGCTGGATGCGGCCCAGGTTTGCACGTGGGCACAATCTCAGCAGAGATAAATGAACCTGCAGAAGAGCCCCCGGGTCTGGAGGCAGCGGCTCCGGTGCCGCCTGCGCTCGGCTGGACATCGTGCCGTTCTGTGCCGTCAGCAGATGTTTGTTTCCATTCTGGTTTGAGCAGGCTTGAAGGAAAACTGGATGTTTTCCAGTCCTGTCCATCCTTAATTTCTTCTCGTCGGGTAGGGGAGTCACTTGGGTTACTTACGTCGTTGCGCAAGCGCTCGGGCAGTGTTTTGTTGACCAGCCATGGTAACCTCGGTGCGAGCCAGATGTGGGAGCTCCTCCCTGGGGTGGCCGGGGCTGTGCTGAGCGTGTGTTCCCACCGCCACCACCCCCCCCTCCCCGGCAGCCTGAGGTCCCCGGGAAGAGCTCGTCACCACCGGCCTTCACAACCGGCCTTCAGCTGCCGGGAAAATGGTGAAGAAACAGTAGGAAGTCCACGTTCGGAGGCGGGAGGATCTGCGGCTTTAGGCTGTGCAGGAGGAAGAATCACAGCACGGCTAGGTTTATTCTCAAAAATGACTATTTGAGAAGAGCAGGGGGGTCACAGCGCTGTGCCAGGTGAGTATCTGTGCGTCACGGAACCGCCCTGCGTTGCCTTCCCGCTCCGCTCAGCGACGGGCGCACCACGGTGCTCCTGGAAATTTCCACGCTCCCACGAGTGGATTACGCAGGGGGAAGTGGAGCCCCTGGCATATTTTTCCGAACCAAAACAAAGCCGGCGAGTCTAATTTTAGGCCTGGCTTAGTATGGAAATGATCAATACTGACACAAAGCTTTTCTGTTCTCCTGATAATTAATTGCTGTGTATTTAAGTCTTGCGTGTGGAAGAAGCTGAGAATTGATAGCCCGCTCTCAACAGCTCCGTTTACAATCCAACGCTCTATCAACAAAGGGAAAAATTAAAGGGAAGCGATGTCACATGCAGGCATAACCCTGCTTCGGTGTGCTCTTGAACCAACTTGTTTGTAAATTCTCTCCCTGCGCCCTGGGACAAGGTGTGTAGTGGCAGAGTACCCACCTGCCAGCCTTCACCTGACTTGTTAGAAAATAACTTACAGCAATATTGTGACTGATGTTCATTCTCTCTCTCTTTCTTTCTCTCTCTCTCTCCCTGTGTCTTGCTGTGCCTGGGTTTGTTTGCGTGTTAGGTTTTTGTGGCCAGTCCAAACAAAACACAGCCTATTGTGGAGATCCTGTTGAAAAACCAACCCAAGCTAATTGAGTTTCTGAGCAATTTCCAGAAAGAGAGGACGGATGACGAACAATTCACCGATGAGAAGAACTACCTGATTAAGCAAATCCGAGACTTGAAAAAGCCAACGGCATGAAGAACTCCTCTCGTTTTCCACTGTAGGCATTAATCTCATTTGTTAAGTTCCTCTGTGTCCCTTAAACACCACAACAGTGCTTGAGAAGGCACAGCAAGTGCCTGGTTTTTATTTGGTCTTTGTTCCTAGATGTCAAGAGTATAGGGGTTTTACATGAAAACTAAAAAAACAAAAATCTAGAATAATATATTATTTTTAATCAAGCCTATAATTATTTATGTCAGTTTAGAATCTCTGTGTAATAGAAGCTGGTTTGATGGATTTTCATTTCTGCTCAAGAAGAATGAACCTCTTTGCTTAACTTTACCCGCAAACTCAAGCTGTCGGTGAGTGCACAGAGTAGGTCTTCTGAGGACTGTAACGTTCCTTTGCACCTGTAGTTGTGACTTTGTTCTAGTGCTGCACACACACATGACTGTGAAAGAGTACGTTCGTCTCTGGAGTTAGCTGCACTTATAGATCGGGTTCTTTAGACAAAACAGTGGGAGATGAAAAAGCAGTAAAGGTCACGTTTTTTTGCTTTATTTCTCTGTCCTTTCATCTTTGAGTTTTCTTTCCCCCTAGATCAGAGGTTTTCTGTGCAGTGCTAGGGAATGGATGAAGACATCAGCCAGATGAGCTATTTCTGCCTGCCCCCCATTTTCCTGTACGTGATCTATCCCGTGCTGGAGCACAGGCTGTTCCCACCAGTTCCCCAGCGGGCTGATGAGGAGCAGCCCCAGGTACGCGGTGCCGGGGCAACCCCGCAATGGGAAGAAGGCAAGAGCAACCCTCCTCCATCAAGGCCCATCTGTATTGCTAATAAAGTGATGCTACACCTACTAAAATCGGCAAAAACTCCGTCCCCAGTTTCAGTAGGAATAATACTGGGTGGCGGCTGGAGCTCTGTGGCTCCTGAGCTTGGCTGAATCGTGCCAAGCGCCGAGCCCCAGCACCAGCGCGAGAGGAAGGTGCTCAGCATCTTCCCACCCGGATTCAAATCCCGGCTGCGCGAGCTGGGCTTGCGCCGAGTTCTGCAAGGGGATGCTGAAACGGCTTCAGCCTGAGCCGCTGAGTGGCCCGGGGTCCCCGCGCCTGCAGGAGCTCTCAAAGCTGAGAGCATTTATCAGATACCTAAATCAAGCGTGGGAGGTCCGTTTAGCAGCCCCAGGCACCAAAGGCTACTTGTAGTCTGGCGTTTTCTATCCTGTGAGTTCAGGTTCTGCGTTGAAGTTGTAGAAGGGGAAAGGGTTGCACTGTTGATGTTTTAAGTTTGTATAAGCCCTGTGGTCCAAGCAGTGTTTCCCGGGTGTGTTTGAAGAGCTTTCGGGGTCTTTGGTTTTCTAGCGGAAAACTCAAATGCTACTCTGATGCTTTATTAGGAAGTGGAGTTTGAGAGCAGGGAGTGGAAATTTCTTGAATTTTTCTGGACAGCCTAAGTTCTGAGTTTCCCTATTTGTTGTAAGATAGTTATCTTGCTCAAACTCTAGCTAATGCTTCGGATAAAAAAGTGACACTGAATTCTAAAAACAGAACAAGACTTTTTCCTTTATAAGACTGTTGTATATTGGGGTGACTGATACTTTAATTTATGTGCTTTCGAAAAGGGATGAAACAGAACAGATTGTGGCCTTGTGGTTTTTGTTTTTTTTTTTTTTTTTAAATGTCAGATATACACAACAAATGTACATCTTAGTTGCCTGGAATTAAAAAGAAAACATATTTACAAGCTATTAAAGGCATGGTTACTGATCACCCTTTATTTCTATCTCTGTTTTTTGGTTTTTTTTTTTTTTTTCCTCTTGCCTTTCTGGATAGCCAGACTCGGCGCAGCGCGAAATTCTTTCTCTCCTTTGCCAACCGCTTTCAGCAGATGGAGGGGGAGAGGGCGACGAGCACTTTCTTCAGAGCTAACGCGCTCTTCAAGCGCCGCACCCGCAGCCCTGGCTGGCTGGGGGCCTGGCAACCCAGAGGAGACTGCAATCTCCTCCCCCCGGCCCCGTGGCTAGTGCTCGCCAGCGGTGGCAACTTGCGGGTCAATAAAGGACCATCTCCGGAATCGCAGGCCGCAGAGCTAGTCCTTTAAGTCCTCTGAGATTTGGAGCCTGAAAACAAAGGGCGCTGGGCCGCGCTCTGAGCTCCTGGGGTGGGGCTGGTCCCCAGGGCTGGATTAACAGAGACGCGTGTCCGTTGCCTCAGCCTCCGGAGTCGCGTGAGAACATCAGGCTTTCGGCCCGCGCTTGGGGAAAAAACAAAACAAAACAAAACCACAAAAAAAAAAAAATAACGTGTAATGGTGTAGTGCTGGGGTACGCCTGCCCTTGACAACGCGGGAGGAACCCAGGCGGGGGTGCCCGGCGCGTCCGTGAGGGAGGTCAGCGCCGTGGGCGGCTCTGGTCTGCCCGGTCGGGCCGCAGGAGAGCGTTTGAAGATGTCAAGACGTGGTTGTAATCGGAGGAGCGAGGTCGCACCCCCACAGGCCGGGCGCTCGCGGGGGGCCGCGGCGTGGCAGGCCGGCGGGGAAGCGCTGCGGTCGGCCCCCCGGGGCCTGCAAGGGCCGCGTTCCCCAGAGCTGTGGTAAGGAGGGCTGGTGGGCGAGGGGGCCGTGTGCCTGCGTGTCTGCGAGAGAGGAGGGGAGAGGGAAAAAGGGTCGTTTTACAGCAAAACGACACGTGCCAGGCCCCTGGCAGCTTATCGGACAAGAGGCCGGTCCTGAAGCATATATTGCCGACACGCCTCAAAGTAATTGAGTCTTCCCCGAGCTCAACTCGCTTGGCTCTTTGAAAGGTGAAAAAGCAAAAGATGAAATGAAGCGCCATAATAATGTTTCAGAGCAGGTGGGGGCAGCGTGAAAATGAGGTCTTTTCTAACGCAGCTCTGAAATAATGATAAAACTCCCCCTTCCCTTTGGTGCGTTCAGTCAAGGTGGTTCTTCTGCCTAAGCAACTGCTCCCACCAGGAACTCACAGTTTCTCTGAAATGAATATCTGGGGGAACTGTGTGATTGCAGGACACAGTTCATCGGAGTGAGGACAGGGAAGAAGATTGTAGTCTGGAGAGAGAAGCTGGAGGGAAGAAAGAAGCTGGAAGACGCTTGGGCTGCAGCCTCTCCATTCCAATCCCCACCCAGCATTCGGGGGGCGGGGGGGGGAGGGTTTGGCTCGTACAAACAACTCTCTGCCAACACACGATGTACGATCCTGCACATCAAACCTTATTTGATACAGCAGAGTGCCAGGAATCTTTGAACCATACGCTTCTGTCCTGGGATTTGGGCAGCTTGTGCTGAAATCAGAAAAATGTGATTGGAAGCGGCAACAGCCTCCCCTGTCTGCGACGGCACGTACGCCAGCAGGTGGG